GACACAAAGGTTTTTAAGTTGAGAGATCACTACTTTTTATTTTGCAACCAGTGACTTAAAATAAAAAGCGACAGCGGCTAAGCAATATAAAATTAAAACTATTCCCACGTTGGAGTAGTTTTTAATCACTTCGAAATCAAACTTTTATACAACCCGTCGTTTACATTTCAATTTCTTCCTCAAATAAATCAAAGCACGCATAGAAATATAGTCAATGTCATATTTTCATTAAATATGTGAATAATTTTCAAAAAAAAACAAGTGTTCAATAAAAAATGTGGCTCAAAATAAGTTGAAGTTAGAGATTGTATCCTGAATGCAACATATTTTATTATTGAAATATTATTTTTCAATTAAAATCATATCTTTACTATATAATGTTTGTCACTTATTTGGATTCTTGATTATTATTAACACAAATAGCACTGCAACACATCAACTGGCATCCGACTTCGCCTCTAATGAACAAAGTCAACAATTATTGCAGAACTCATTAAGTCATTATTCAATTCAGTAGTTAACTTTTCTGAACAAACTTCTTGTGGTCGCTGAAATTCTGTAATATTCTAATTGATTAGGACAAAAGTGGAATATTATATAATGCAACATGGAAGGTTGGAAAGAATTATAGAACTAGTTTCAAAGTTCGGAGTAAATTTATTACTTCATACACTATATAAGAGCTCGATTTGACTACAGAAGTACTAGTATTAATATAATGGGAACCATTAAGAATCATTAACATATTAGACTATTTTGTTGTAATAAAACCTTAGTGTGCTGATATTTTACTAATAGATGTTGATAATAGGTTGATAATCTCCATATATCCTTTTTATTTTCCCTTGTACGTATGAATACACGAAGTATAGGGAAAGTTATGTAATGCTGCGGAAATTCGATTTCGAAATTTCAACGGAAATACACGTTTTGGGGTCCCCACGTACCAAAGTTTTTTTTTCTCTCTCTCTTTTTTTTCTCTCTCCAAAACCGTCCGTCCGGTGTCTGTGAACACTACTAGCGCCTAAACTAGCACCTGGGTAGGATTTGTTTGCAATTGAAGAAACCTCTGTTCATCTAGCTCGAGTTAAAACTTTCTTCAAAATTTCCGGGTACTTTACATGAAGCCTTTCGGGCATATTCAAGATTTTCTCAAAAACGGATCCAAATTTTGTCTTTAATTTTCGTGTAAGAATAGAGTAACATAAAAGTGACATAGGTCCGATTTTCACAGTTAATGAAAATTTTAAAAGTGTGATTTTATTTTTCGGTGTCTTCTTACAACTATACAATTGAAGAGCAAATTTTATTTTAAGGAAAAAGTTTTTCTTCATAGTGAGTTCTTTCATTACTATTATGTACGTTTTTATTGTTGTTGTTGAAAAATTCATTAGTTTCCGCATAATATTGCATGCAGTAGATGAAATTTTAAAAAATTATAAAAACAAGATTTTCTCAAAAACGGCTCAAAATTTTTTCTTTAAACTTTTGGTATGGATAGTGCTAAATGTACTCTATAATATGACATAATCGTCATATTGGTCTATTCTTTTGTTTTTTCCAATATTTCAAAAATGTTATTTTTTTTTGACTTGCCTTTCAAGTTGTTAAATTTTATGTTAACGGCGATTTGTTCACATTATTGTATTTATGGGTACATGTGGTTTAATAATATATAATCCGATAAAGTTTCTCGAAAACTCAACCGTTTTCCATGAAAACTAGCTCAAACCGCCGCATTTTCAGAAACGCTCAAACGCCATTTTTTCCAAAACGGGTCCTAATTTTTCATCAAACATTTCAAACGGATAGCGGTATTTGCGCTCTTTAATATTAATTTTGGTGTATATTTTTTATTTTTTTAATTATTAAATGGAATATCTTTAAAAGATCTCTCACGCCATTAATATGCACATTTACAGCAATTTTGTAAGCAGTAATGTATTTGTAAGTTAAAATACTTAAAATTACTTCGGATTACGTTTTTCGAAAACTCAAAAAATTTCTGTGAGAGTTACAAATTTCGAATTTACAGTAGCGTTTAAACGCCATTTTCGTATAAAGGGCTCCAAATATTTCAAAGAAAATTGCGAATTAGACGAGGTTTTACTGTTCTTTAAAAACCTTAACACAGTATTTCTGATCTACTATTAGGAAACCGAAAAACTAAGAAAATGTAAAAAAAGAAATGTACTTTGGGTGGCAATAAATGGCAGCTGGCAAGAGCATGGGGCAAGTTCGAATAGCTACCCGAGACCAAAGGAATAGAAAACTAAAACGGAAAAGTCTGTGCTTTTCTGTAGCACCACTAGTTTATCTTACAGTATATCTGACTTCCCAAACGTCACGAGAATTTCAGGACTTCGAAGGAATCGTAAAGTTAGATAAAGAACTTCACACTGTTCCTCACTTAATACGTTTAGTTTATGCACATCATCTCGTGATAAACGCAATTTCTGAAAATACATGGGAGAAAAGTAAAATAGGAATCAGAAGAATGTGGGAAATAGAAACCTATTAATCGGTTACGGGAGAGATGGGATCCATTGTCAAAGGAGAATGAGGTTAGCGAAAAACTAGTTCGGCAAAAAGTTCTAAAATAGTCCCGTACAAGAACTGTTTTTATTATCGGGACCTTGAAACTGAGGGATCAGATGAAGAAACAAGTAGCATGCAATTTTGCAGTCTAAGGTGTAACGTTTTGAGCTCACCGTGGTAATGAGACTGGAATTGAAGAGGTAGGTGATAATGCTAATACATCTTAGAAATGGTTGTATGAGATACATTCGAGAAGTTGTACAATATTTTTTATATTACATGTTTATGTATAATTTGTTCATACATGTGAAAAGTAAGTAAATTTAATGACTTACATAATTAAGTGATTGGAAAGGTTAGGATGGGAGAACAATAGTCGGTGAGCAGAGGATAGGGGGTAGAGGCAGAAGAAGATGGCGTGAAAGATGTGCAGGTCGTGGAATTACGGTATCAAGAAATGCTCCTACATAGAGTGAGTGTGACCAAAGGGGTCGGCGGGGGGGGGGGTGCTCAGGCAAGAGGCGTGCTCGCACCGCAAGTAGGTGGAGCCATCTGTAGGGGCGAAAGCAGAGGCAGGGGATGACTCCGGATAACTACCAGGTGTGCCGCGTGTAAAAAGTTAAGGCGAGATTCTGAGAGCAAAGGAAACTGTAGTGTAAACGGTGAATGCGGGGAAGGGACGTAGGTGGGTGGAATACAGGCAGGGCAGAGTGTTCTTTTGAATCATGGCAACAGAACAGAATATTATAGGATAGGACGGGGCGGGGTGTTGTTGGGAGCAAGATAAAACGGAAGAATTGGAAACGGGGGAAAGTAGAAGGGGTAGCGAACGTGGGGCGGGAAAAGGGCTGGCACGGAGTAGAGGCGGAGCCAGGTAGAGGAGTACACCGGGCAGAAGGGTCAATGAAGTAGAAAGGACTCCAGGCGGAAATAGCACCGGGGCGAGATCTGAAAGGATGGAGATGAGAGGTGGTAACGGAGATGACTACAAGAGATAAAGCAATGGCCAGAACCAAGACAGAGACTAGGCGGTAGTAGGACCGCGAAAGAGAGGACGACGATTCAGACCAAATATAGGACGGGGTGGGGGTGTTGACGAGGTGGTAGCGATGTCGGGATGAAGGCGTGGAAGGGAGAAAAGAGGTGGAATACAAGAAAGCTGGGCGAAGCCACGGATGCCAGGAGGAGGCGCCGCAGGGTTGGCGAAGGAGTCGGACTTGCGAGAGAGACGGCATCGGTAGCCGCAGCGGCGGCGGCGGCAGTGGAGGTAGAGGCGGTGGAGCTCGCCCGCGGCGACAGGATCGCATTAGCCGAGTCAACAGCCGGCGAGAAAGAAGATATGGGGGCTAATGTAATATCGTGCCCCCGAACGCCTAAGATACCTCAGGGAAACGGTCAGATTAATTCTGTGCTGGGCTCGGGGCTCCCCCCTCGCCCACCCCTCGTAATCTCTTTAGGGCGAACGCGACGATCCAGAGGAACCACAAGGCTGCGCGCGTGATCGCTGGGAAGCACCGATACAGCCAACGCCCCGCGGGCCCCGATTGCTCACTTTCCCGCTCTGAAGGGGCAATCGACCATGCTGCCTTAACTTCTACGCAGTTTTTTTGCGGACCGTTGGATTTTCTGTAAAGGAATTAACTTTTCATTATAGGAGAAACTGAGGTACCTCGAATGAGAACAAAACGATTAGGTTATTCTATTCTTCTATGAATATAGTGTTTGTTTGGCCATTTCAAGAAGTTTTGAAGGGTAGTGTGCATTTTCTATCAGTAATTTTACTTCAGCTACATTGATGCGGCGGCGAAATAGAATACAGTAGACACAGTAGAAGTCAAAGATGGAGTAAACACAGAAAAAGAAGAGTAGCCTATAGTCATTTCTTATGCTATGAATAAAAGGAACAAATATGTAATAAAATTTATAATTAACATTTGTTTCAGAAAATAATTTCATTATTTTAAGATTGTTGAGGAGAAAATAAAGTAAATATTGTAAATTTATTCTTGTAAATTGATTATATATAATTGTAAATTATTTATGAAATTTATTCTTGCGCATTGCCTAATCTCTATCGTCTCCCTCTTCTGTATTTCAATCGAAAGGATTACTCAGTTCCCTTACACAAGCAAATCCTTCCAAATCAGAAATAATCAAATTTAACTGTAACACGCGATGTAATTTTTCGATTCTATTAACAATTTAAATTTTTCCTAGTAATCGTTGCACTGTTGTCCAAGATATTGGAGTGTACAATTATCTCACGCAGAATGGTATGTTGTCACCTGTCTGCAGATGCCTCACCCATGTCTTACTTTAATATTTTAAATCAGGTTTTAGTAAACTGAAGACTACTTTTTACTAACCCAAGAGTCAGAACTGTAATGCGCACTAATTTTAATATTATTTTAGAAACAATATCATATTTTCATTAGAACGTTTGCCTGATTTGTTGGTTGCAGAACATCGCTTTACCCCCAAACGCAACTCTGCCTCCTGCAGCGGAGAGCGCTATTCAGACACCTCGTACGAGGTGCTGAAGCAACACACGACCAACGGGCTGCTGCTGGGGCTGTACACAGAGGAGGTTTTGCAGCAGAAGGTCCTGGGCGCGGGCCCGTCGGGCGCTTGCGGTGGGTGGGCCGCCTCCCCCGCCCCCCTCGTTGGCCTGCGCCGTCGCAACGCAATGAGGAGGATCAAGCCGAATCCGTGCATCGGAAGCGACAATGGCGCAGGGGGGGAGGCCTTCGGACCAAAGAACGAGCACGAACAGCCCGATGACCGCCAACTGCGCAATCACCTCAACTATGCCGAGTCTGTGCTCGTGCAGCCGTTTGAAATACTTTCAGAATCCCTCGGGAGTCTGCGGGAGAAATGCGAAGGTATAGAGGAACTGCGACTAAAGGCTGACAAAGAGTCTTGCACAGACTTTGCTACTAAATACTCGAAATGAATTGGTACCGTTATGTTGTCATTATCAAATACAGAATTATTTCTTATTTTTTGTTATTTACTTTCTATCCACATAGAAATGGTATATTTTATTCAATTGCTCTTTTTTCATTATTATATGCATGTATCTACGTACTTTTTTTACGAAGTGATAATTTTGATACCTTACATTATTTTCCTGTAACCACAATTTGTATTAAATATTTTATTATGGACAAACGTTTTTTAACTTTTTTCTAATCTTTCTTTTGGGCGCTCGTCTATTCAATTGGCCTATGGCATTAAGTGAATTAAAGTTCATTTTTCTAATATTACATTTGTTTGAAAGTTAATCGAAACTTCTTATAATTTTCCGTGAAGTAGTTTAGTGTTTTTTTCCTTGATATAGTTACATAATTTAAAACGAGGAGGATGATTGGTACACCGAAATGTTCCCTCATCTTTGTCTTTTGGAATGCAAAATTGGATAGATAATGATTTTAAAATATAGCAATTTAGGAATGATTATTAATTAAGTATCGAGGAGATTTCAACTACAACGTATATACAATATAAATTTAATATAAAAATAAACAGGCATACACGTGATTCGCGACTAATTTACCCCAACATCAGTGGTTCCAAAAATCACGTATTAAAAACGTGGGACTTCCCACGTGCGTGATACTTGGAGCCACTGAAGATGGGATAAATAAGTCCCGAAGCACTTGTAAAGCTGTTTGTTATTTATATTAAATTTATAGTGTTTACTTTGTGGCTTATACCTCCTCGAACCTTGATTAATAATCATTACCACAATTCGTGTATTTCTTCTGCCATCATGAAATTTACTCAAAACCCAATGTAGGGGCTGTACACAGAGGAGGTACTGCAGCACAAGGACCTGGGCGCGGGCTCGTCGGGCCCTTGCGGTGGGAGGGCCGCGGTGGCCGCCTCCCCCGCCCCCGCTCCCAGTATTACAAAATTCAAAAGTTTCACAAATGTTAGAATGCATACGGGATTCATTATCCCTAGCCTAGCAAGATTGAATGGCACCCAGGGCAAGTAGGCGCCGTATCAACCCTCACTCTCACCCCAATTGATCCCGCTGGCCTCTAGGAGGTTACAGATTTTGGAACTTCTGATTTAAAATGCACTTTAGTTCACTAGTTGCCCTCCTTCTCGTCATTCGGAAAAGAGATAAGGGAAACATAGATTGATTTTGCACTGGCACAAAACTGCGCGCATCTCTCCTACAGTTCACCAACCTTAAAGTGGTGCTATAACATTCAGCATTTGAATATTTCAGCTACCTTCGTATCTCCCTATAACTATCAACGATCTCTACTTTTCAACAACTGCTGTAGTTAATTCAAGTGCACATTTAAAGTGTTCTCAAATGAATATTAAAATGAGACTCGAAATGGGTGGGAAGTAATTCATTTGACGCAGTTAAACAACTCATGAGTTGAATAGAGATCTAAATGAATAGAATACGTTTTTGTGTCTGTGGATCATCAACGAATTATTTAGTTCTATATTGAATCACATTTGACAATAAAGGAACTTATGTTCGAAGACGTCAGCTTCGTCTAGGAATTGAAGCATGATCATCCCATTTTATTGGCGGTTTTAGATTTTAACGTTTGCAAGAGAGTGAATAAAATGTTGGTAAAACGCAATATGCTTGTTACAAATTTTGCGATCTAATGAAGTTATTACCCATCCTGACAACACAGTTCTTAGTACGAAGGTAAGTACCATATATTTGCGGTGCTGATTGTCGGGTGGGGAAATGAGGTAGGGCTGGTGCTGCGATTGCACGGACGGCGCCCGGTGTGCTGGTGACCAGCCTCAGGGCAAAGAATACAGAAACGAATTAAGTAGCTCAACTATTTATACCGTACGTGAGTCTACCTAAAGGCCTCCACTTTAAAAACTGATAAAGAAAATGGCAAATCGAAACGTGTAAAGCAGCGGAATGGCACAACACACATTTTTTCTAATATAGACTGATTGGTGCCCCCGAGCGCGTTTCTTATGACCATTAGTTCTCCTAAACTCTCACCCCCCCCTTTCAACTCCCTTAAGTGTAGTGCATGTTGAATTCGAGAGGTAGAACTGTTCCTGCCCACTGCAAAATGAAATCTGGCGCCGACTTACATGAGGGGTTGCGAGGACACTCCTAAAGCCGGGGTAAACTCTAGCTCCCGGCATGTGTGGTGGAGAAGTGTAACTATAAGAGTATGTGTGTGTGACTGTAAGGTTGAAAGTAGAACGAATTTGCATAGGCTTCGCGGGCTCCGGCGCGGATCAACCACAGGTTCTTTTTACCCCAGCCTCTCCCTCCGAGACAGCACTGTTGTAGTTGAAGATTCGAACCGACCCAAGTCGTGAATTCACCCTGGCCAGGAGTGTCGAATACTCTAGTGATCTCGGATAAATCGATATCTAGGATTCAGGAACGCCAAAAATTTGCTTATATATTTTATCTAGGAGGATGTCTCCATCTATTGAAGAAATAAAATTTGCAAATTATGGTACACAATATGAACAAGGTCTGGGGTTTTCAAATGAATACCATGACACGTACTTTAAAGGTTTAAGATATTTTCTATTGGGGGAATGATTTACATGCAACCCCTATGACATTTTCAAACTTTTCTGGAAAATGGCTGCAAACGCTCTAATGTGTTTGGCTAGAATAAAAGTGCATTTATAATTATGATATAGTTCCGATTTTAACATCTAAATTGTTAAAATTGCAATTTATTTGTGAGCCTGTCGTACACTATCAATATTAAAACCTCATATCTTTCTTAATGCATATCACTCAGTTTTAGACCTTTAAATGATGTATACCTTATTACTTTAAAAATATGTTTTTGCTTAGTATTAATTAGGGCTTTGTTTCTAATGAAAAAAAAATCCTTTGAAACGGACTTATAAATGACGGGCAAATATCCTCATTTTTTTAAAAATAATCAACAATTTGTCTGGATATGATTGTATATTCCATGAATTTTACAATTATAAATACTATTTATTTACGTACAATTATATTTATTATAATCATTATTTCAGCAGGAAATGTGATTCTTATCTTCGATATTCCAACCGACAGTTTTGAAACGTTGTGGAAGTTACCGAAGAACCGTGAGGTTTTGAGATTTCGAAAAACCGGAGTCTACTGTAAGAACAAATTTTGTCAAGAATTAATGATACAATAAAACCTTTATTTTAGTTTTCAGTGTGTCGTTGTAAATGTATGAAACATTCACTAACAAAAAACACGAAAAGGAAACAAAATGCGTAAAAATTACAAAAATGACGCAAAGGTAAAATGTCCTAAAAATTAAAAAATGGCAAAAATTACAAAAATTGACCCAACAATTATGCATTTCTATCATGGATATAAAGTGATAAGCTTTAATATACAAGTTAGCTTTATCTATAATGTACCAATGGAAAGATGACATGTCATCAGAATGCAAGCCCTGGTAATAATACTACAAGGAGGAAAAGTTGCGGTATTCCGCGCATATCTATGAGTTTTTCTGTAAGTGATATTAAGCAGTGTCTTGTACGTAGAATTGTGATCAAACAAAGCATTGTCCAGGCCCGCCTAGTTGTCGGTGCCGGCGCAGAGGGCGTCAGTGTAGGTGTTAATACGAGGTGAGTTTCTACGGTGTCAGTTTTTCTGAGTAATATCAAGAGACGTCTTGTTCATAGGTAATACCCAGAGTGCTTTGGAATTTATCGGAGAATTTCCAAAGCACGAATGGTATTTAATAGGACTACTCGACGAATGAAATTATGTCCAACAGAGTTCCAAAATGCGCCAAATATTGAAAATAACTGAACGATGTTTTAAAATCAATGAGGTTATGTTGTAGTATATACACGATTTATTGGACATCGATATAGCAATCGATGTATACAGCGCCTCGAAAAATACTAGATGAGTCACAGTTTATTATTGACAAGTAGGAAGAAACGGCAAGGAAAGTCGTATAGAAAAGGCGATGAACTTTTTGAGATTCACTGCCCACATTGGGACATTTTGTACGCATTGTAAAACACTGTTGGTTTTAATTTCACGAGTGGAATAATCAGCGCGATGCGACATAAAACAGCATTGGCAGGGCCGCCTAGCCTCGGGGGCGGCGGGCGGCGTGCTCGGCGGCGAAGGCGAGGGCGGCGGCGGCCAGCCCCAGGGCGAGCAGCGCCAGCGCCCCGGACACGTGGTGCACAGCGAGGCGCGTGGGGGCGCCGCCGGCGGCGTCCGAGGCGCCGCTGGCCTGCACGCTCTCCTGCAGGCGCTGCGACAGGAAGCGGCGCGCCACCCGCGCCTCCAGCTGCAGCAGCGCGCCCGAGTCCCGCAGGCGACCTGCCGAGCCACGCGCGCCACGCGCTGTAGGCAGGTAGGCAGGCAGACCTTCCTGCAGACTGGAGGCGTTGAACGAACCGGGCCATGCTACTAGATGTAAAACATTCGCGATGAAATGCATTCTCACACTTCCTCTCCCCACCTGCTAAAACGGCACCCAATTTCTTTTATTTTAATTTTCCACATTTTTGTCAGCTAATAGTAAAATTATAATTCACTATAATATATAATAGAATATTAAAATCTGGTTCTATGTGCTAATTTTCATGGAAACATTTGGAACCTATTTCAAGGAAACTTCGTTTGAACGGGTCTCAAAATGTATAATTTTGAGTTCATTTTCACAGAAAACTTGATAAGAAAACACTTAAAGCATTTGTACTCACAAATGCAATAATTTGTTAAAAGTGCCCCTAATATAAATATAAACGACAAGAGATATTTCAAGAAATTAATTTGTGTATTTTTTTAAAAACCGAAAAATAGATTTTATTTTTTAAAATATCTTATTTTTATCAGTGCATTTCTAGGAAGATGCCGACAAATTTTGAACTTTTCCAATTTTCAAAACTGAGAGAATTCAATGGAAATGAGACCTGCACAATTATTTGTTTTGTTCTTATTCTAGCAAAAGGTTTTTGTTCTACCTGAGAAAAAATTAAACAAGAAATTTGGAGCCACTTTTGAGAAAGTTTTTCAAATGTTAAGGCTTCATATAAAGTACCTCTAAAATTAAAATATCCATTTCAATTTCAAGGGACATCATCCAGATTGATTGGGGAATATCAGTTGTAGTGAAAATACAACTTATGTTTAGCTGGTAGCGTTGTTTATAGAGATATGAATCTTTTGGCCTTTTGCCGTAATTCCCTTTTGGGTATCTAGGACCCATAACACATGGCGTCTGGTTACACACACGAACAA